AAACAAGCATACACACACACTTACAAACGTACATGTATACATACATACATGCATACATGTGCATGCGCAATTACCCACATACGCCCACACATATGCATGCAAATAAATACTGATACACAAAGCCGAAACCTGTCTTTTTTTTCATGGACATTACTAGTCTGACATCGTTGATCTGTAGATCCCGCTTCGCGACGTACAAGCCGAAGTGATATGATGATCATTATTCACAAAGTCTTTGATATTGAGACATGGTTGTGTGTTTATTAGGCAGTAGCTAGGACGATGGAAAGCGGTATTCGAATAGACTTTACCTGTCGTTTAAGGGCTAGCATTATCGGCCTGATAATAAAAGAACTGTCTCAGTAGTCAGGTGTGACCGATTCTGGGATCTTTTGATTGGGGTTAGGCTTATGTCCAATTTGGTGGCTTGTACCCCATCCCCTCCATTTCTCTTATAGATCGTCTAGTTGTAGATAACTGGATAGCTGGCCTCAGCTGTCCTTCATAGCCAAAGTGGATGCGAAAGTAGATGCAAAGACCGGTCCCAATTTTCTACATCTTGGCTGATTTATCCCAGAATCTCAGTGTCTAACCAACACGATGGGAAATTTAGCTTACAGGTCAACCCATTTCTAGAACAGCCTGAGTTTATGTTGGAGGGATCTATGGTGTCCCAACGCTTGGAGGGTGCTCAAATGGTCCACGAATTGACGTGAATCAAGTCAGAAGGGGCTCACTTTGAACACTTTATGACCCAAGTATATTGGCTTGCTATTGGTTTTTAGATTAGATGGTGCGCTGATGCGGTACCGCGCCGATCACCCTGCATCAGAAGAGTCTCATAGGATGGGGGTAAGTAAATTTTTTGGACCAAAACTAGCCCTTGTTTCGCTTCCCTGTGGTGATACATTCCGATTAATGCACTGGAAATGCTAACTTTCAGACATTTATCAAAGTTGGAATTGGGATAAATGACTTTAGTAGATTCATCATGGAGGTATTAGACATATGCCAGTACCATTTTCCTCTAGCCTTTGGCTAGGAGATGATGCTCTGAGGAAAATGCCCATGCAGACCCTTTCACAAGCGCTTTTGAGAAGGATAATTATGCGAAAATGAATAACTGTTGCCCCACAATTCACAGCTTCTGGGGTCAAGAGTGGATGAAATTTTGGTTGCCAGCCGTAAAACAGTGCAAAGAAGGCGTCTGACACATGTGGACGTTTGGATAACCAAAGTAAGATTTAATACTTTCTTTGCATCATCCGAAAAAACTATTGGGAAGACGAGAAATAAAAAGAGACCTTCACACTTTTCACACATTTGACCCTCGTCGTAAATTGGACTGTTATGTGATCTTTTGTTTCTGTGGCCGCTGACGCTTGTGCGAGACTTGCCGGCCGACCGAAAGACGATTCTCACCTCAAAGTTTAGCCCTCCCACTCTCAGACCGGACCGCCGGATAGGCTCGGCGCCACTGGCTGGCTCCCTCGGTTGCGGGTCTGTGGCGTTTGTGCACTCTAAGAAGACCGAACGTCAGCCGACTCGGGCTCGTTTAGGCTGGCAACCTTCAGGCTGAGGCAGGCCCGCCCTGTCTTTCGACGACTTAAGATAATCGGTGAACGGTTGGGCAAATAAAAAGCCTGTTAGAGGGACCTTCATTTCGTATGAAAGTGCAC